GGCAGCAGGCCTCCCAGGTGGCCTGCGGCCAACTTGTAAATGGTGCTGACAGGAAGTGGGGAAAGCTGCATGCTGCATCATCAGCGGCCATATACGCTCCTTCCCAGTGGGCGCCATTGTCAAGCAGGCAGCTGAAAGAGCTCCTGCCGCATCTCCAGGAACCGATGGCCAGGCACATCTTTTCCTTTGCAAGCTGACATCCAAGTGGTGGCTTTGCTGAACGAGCGGCAATGACGGTAGCCCAGGTGGCTCACCAAGGCTTAGTTCGTCAGCCCAGCAGGAGTGCGGGAGCTGCAAGCCCAGCCTTGTGCCACAACAGTCAACCAAGACAGGTTCCAGTCTTTGCCTTTGTTTAAAGATCTTGGAGACCTCGGACGCTGGAGAAAACCACGCTCTGTGCAGCGGTCATCCCTGGCTCTGCCTCCCGGTCGCCATGGCCTTGCTCTACAAGCGCTTCCTCAGGGGTTCCTGCCCTCCAAATAAATCCATTTGTATACATATTTATACCTGCCTTTGGTAACTTCATGTGAAGAGGAAATGAAGAGGAACTTGCTGGAGAAGGGTAGCAGTCAGGAGAAGCTGGATCATAAGATGCTTTGCCCCACTGGAATTACTAGAGCTAAGGAACCAGTTTTATCCACTGGCAGATGAGATGGCAGGGCAGCCAGCAGAGTGAGAATTACAAGACAACCTCGCCACAGAGAGCAAGAGCAGGTCATTGACCAAGAAGAAGAGAAGCGTCGTCCTTCTGGGAGAGCCCCTGCTCCTAGGATTGGAACCCACGTGTTGGGATGTCCTATGGACACACCAAGGATGTCATCGCCCTGGAGCTCAAATTAGAGGTGTGACCAAAAGACTGCCAAAGCTCATAAGGCCACCTGACACCCATCCCCTTCTTCCAATCCACGTGGGAACCAATGATACCGCTGGATGGAACGCAAAGAAATCACATCAGATTATGACGCTCTGGGAAGGGAGCTCAGGAACTTCGGCACCCAGATAGTTCTCTCATCCCTCCTGCCAGCGCTTGGAAGAGGAATAGAAGGGGAAAGAAAAATGCTCCGGGTGAATGACTGGCTACGAAGGAGGTGCCAAGATGAGAGATTCCGATTCTGGGGTGGCAGACTAGGCCAGGGATGGGTTGCACCTCACCAGCGCGGGCAAGGAAGTGCTTGGCTACAGCATGAAGAATGTAATCTGGAGGGCTTTGGACTGAATCCTGCTCTGGGAAGAGATGCAGGCTCGGAGGCAGCAGTGGACAAAGGCTCGTGCTCCCCGAGAGAGAAAAGAGCTGCAGCAGCGCCCAAAGCAGGCCTCACAATGATGTGGGAAAGCCATAAAGCACATGGGCTTTGGTGTCTGTACATTAATGCCCAGAGTACGGGAAACAAGCAGAAGGACTCTGAACTCAAACCACCAAGGCAAATGCGACTTTAGGCATTACTGAAACTGGATGGGATGATTCCCATGGTTGGAATATAGTGATTGAAGGGCGTAACTTGTTCAAAAAGAACAGAAGAAATAGGAAGGGAGAAGAAGTGGCATTATATGTTAGACATGCTTACTCCTGCACAGAATGACCTCAGGGGAGCATCTGGGTCAAAATAAATGTGTCCAGGAATAAAAGGAACATGAAAATCAATGCATCTACTCCCAGTCACCCAATCAAGGAGAAAATGATTCCATTGTAATTAATGAGGATTAAATTGTTGTAAACCCGCAGGAGACGCTTGTATAGGGCTGGGCATGGGCTGAGGCACTGCTGGAGCCCTTGTCCTGGAAAGTGAGCTAGCGCTGTGGACCTTCTCTTGTGCTGTGTCTTGCCGAGCCCCCGGAAGTGCAAGGCACGAAGCCTGGGAGAGCAGCAGCCCGTCCCACGCCGGGTCCAGCGGCACGAAGAAAGGCTGTCGCACATGGTGCGGAAGGGGGCACAGCTTGGGCATGTGGGGGCCCCGATTCTTAGCAGGTGCCATGCAAGCCCGGGGCATGCTCCCCAGGGGCCTGGATGCGCAGTCCAGGGAGCCAAGCCCAGGGAGTCCGAAGGCTTCGCGAGCCCAAGCCGGGGTCCGCACAGACCCCTCCACTGGGATACCTGCCCAAGGACCAGGGGAAGGAGGAGGCAAAGACCCCCCAGTGCAGCTCTCGGGAACATCACAGGTTCTTGCTGGGGTGGGTTGCCATGTCACGCAAACTCGCTCATGGTCTCCATACCCCTGGATCAGACTTAAGGCGTGCGAGGGCAAGCCATGCTTTGAAAAGACAGGCTGCGGGGCAGTGCACACCTGCTATTTTAAATATGGCTGCTAAGGGATGGGGAGCTTTACTTCTGCAGCCATCCCAAACACTCCCGCGTGAGAACCCACCTGTGCTATACAGAGAAAGCTTATCAGTTCTTTGGCGCAGGTATTTACCTTCTTAGAATGGACTGTGACCCAGCACAAATGAGACATTCAAATTTCTTGTAGAAAGGAAAGGCACAGAAAGGAAAGGACAGCATTCAAGAGCTATGCGCAAACCCATCCTAATTTTATACACTTTTTTCCTTCCAGCTTTTCCTGTCTTCTTGATTAATATTAAATCTATGGGAGGAGGTTCAAATGCGTACCATCTTGAGACATTCCTTCCTTCCTTGGTTTCAAGTACAGTTGTTTCCTTGATCTTTTGCACAGAAACTGACATCAGTGCAAGTCCCACGTGTGTGAATGAACACACGGAATAACCTTTGTCGACCATCGGGAGCAGAGAGTCTTTTGACTTGCCCCAGCCCTGTGGGCTGGCAGAGCAAAAGTCCTCAGAAGTTCCTGAACTTTCTGATCTTTTCTAGGTCATGTCTAATTAGTGCAAAATTCAGGACAGCGTCTCTCCTCCCCATCCACGCAACACGTTTTGATCCTCAATTATTTATAGCGGCATGCGTTACAAAACGGACAATATGGCGCAGTCCACCAGCATGACAACCTGATGCTCGATCTTTGTAACATGAAGCCGCAAATACTGGGAGGTGTCTTCTTTCGTTACAAGCTCCGCAGACGGAAAGCAAAGGCCGGCTGTGCTAAAAGCACGTGCTGCGGGGCGGGGGGGGGGGGTTCGTATGTCCCAGGGCGATTCTAACCCTGCTGTTGTCTCAGGGCCTTGCCTCCTCCTCTTCGCCTCCATTTGTACCTTCACAGCACTTCTTCCTCCTGTGTGCTCACCAGAATATCGATTAATTAGTGCTGAAAAGCTGGAAGAGTATCTCACGGGCTTTGGATGGGCACGGACCTCCTGCCAAGTACACACATCGCAGGGGCCAACCATATCCTCAGAAACACCGCCCCATTTCACAGTGCAAGAGAAGTGTTTGAATGCTTCCATATATGGGAAAAAGGCCCCGCATGTAGAACGCTAGCACGTCAGGGATAGGAAAGGCCAACGGCACCTGCTAACTCTCTACATGCAAGAATATTTTTAATAATGCTTCAGTGCATGTTCAGCTGCAAACATTTCACGGCTTAAGGGCCGATGTGATATGGGCTCGCGCCTGTGGGGTGCTATTTCGCATGGCGTACAGCATGGGATCCAGAAAAGCCCCACATCCCGGAGGCCTTCCGATGGAGCCCTGGGGCCCATTTGCAGACAGCGATGCTGCAAGAGGTTGCTCTGCATCCGCGCCTCACACCCGGGCCGCGATTCTCTGGCTACAAGGGGCCAGGTGAGCATCTGGCGCGGCGGGGGAGCTGCCGGGATGGCTCATCAAAGGATGGCTGCCAGTGCGTGGAAAGGCAGCCTGCCAAGGCCCATCCGAAACCGCTGTGGAAGTGTCTGGTCTCTAAGCAACGCAATTCCCTCCATCCCCCCCCTCCCCTCCCCTCCCAACTGTTTTCTTCCTTCCATGCTGCTTAAGCATAGAAAGTTGCCTTTTGATTGCGGAATACTTCACACGACTTCCTCCGCAACCCCGCTGCTTCTGCGGGAGGGCCCGCCGCAGCGCCGATGACGCGGCTCCGTGGGGAGGCGGCAGAGGAAGAAGTTGTCCGGGGCCAGTAATTAAGACCCCGTGACCCAAAACCTGGAATGCGACAGTGCCTTTCGACGCGGGTTCTGATCGCTCCCTACCCTGAGCTTTGAGTAAACTGCCAAATCCCCCCGGAAACCCGCGGCGACTGCGTCACCGCTGCCACGGCCGTCCCTCCGATCGCAGCGGTGGCCTCGAACCGGCGGCACTCAAAATAATGCCGCAAGCGGCAGGCACTGCCGGCACTTTGAAGGGAACAGGTCTGCCGTGCGCAAGCATCGTCCTCCAGGCACAATCCTAGCGAGGCGATGTCGGTTTGCCTCTCCGGCACCGCTCTCCTTCTGCAAAGGGCCTGGCAGCGCACGGCCGGACTTCTCTGCGTATGCATCTGACAATTCAAAGCAAGAGGGCAAGAACTCGGCAGGGGGCTGAACTTCGGCTCCAGAGTTCCTGGTTGCTGCCACAAGCCAGAACTATTCCACAGCCGCTCAGCAAACAGAACTTGAGTCCTGCACAGAGAAACCTGCCCAAATCGCAAGAAATGCAAGTGCAGTTCCAGAGGGAGGAAGCTCTTCCCCAAGACAGGACAATCCATGGTTGGGCGTGGAACGGACCGCACGCACCACCCAGGCATGCTCAGTTGCACTCGGGCTTCCAAGACTTTGGAGGGTGATCTTGCCCCCCCCCCCCCAAAGGACCATGTCACGCAGGAGCCAACTTCCTGCAGAGGCTGAGAGGTGCAGGAGCCGCGCTGGTGCCCTGCGCTGGTGCCCCATGCCTGGTGCCCCACGCTCTGCTCAAATCGCAGCAGGAATGCAGCTTGTGTCTCTGGAGCTTGAGTCCCATGCCCTCCCCTGCCCAAGAGCCGATTTCTCCCAGGAGGGCCCTCTGGGGATACACGGGATGAAGGCAGCGCCCCAAGTCTCATTGACTTGGATGGGATAAAGGGGTTTAAGTGGAAAGACACCTCTTGAAGCAGCGGCAGGTGGGGTCACACGGCTTTTACCTGTCCAGCCCGCGAGGCAGCAGCAGTGGCCGGTGACGGGGTCGCATCCGTCCGCGTGGCTGCAGTCACAGCGCTCGCTGCAGTTCAGGCCGTACGTTCCATCCTTCCGCGAAGAGAAAACACGAGAGGGGCAGGAGGGCCTCTTGCTAGGGTCGAAACCCCACGACACCCATTCCCGTTCGTGGCTGCCCCCTCCCCCATTCTTCCTTTAAAACAGGGATTACGTCAGCCATGGCGGGACCCGATCCCCGGATTTTTTTCACCAGGAGGGGCAAAGCCCTTTCAGCCCAAGGGCCTGATGCAACTTCGGAGCTGGCTGGAGTGGGAGGAAGAGGGGCCCAGGCAGAAACACCCCCACCCTCCCAGCCAGCCGGCCGGCCAGCACACCACCGCTTACAGTGTTGACTACCAGCAACTTCATCTTAGCAGAGACGTTCCAGCTTTTGGAATAGGGGAAGAAGCTGCACAGACGTCCCGAGCCACCAAACCATGGATGCATGGGGGAAAGCTGTGGGGCCAGGCCAAGGGGACAAGCCACCTGCGAAGGCCGGATTGGGCACGCGGGCCCTCGCATTCCACACCTCCGCTGTACAAGCAGCAGGGCTAGCTTACGGAACTCACTGCCACAAGGTGCAGTGAGGGAAATGGCTTTGAATCCAGGGAGGGCTACGGCTGACTATCTAACAGAGCATCTCAGGGCTAGGGCTAGGGACAGGGGCCGAGCTCATTCGCTCTCCTGGCCACTGGACTGGCTGCAGCTAGAAGACGAGGGCCCACCCCTTGGGGCCTGGTGCCTGCTGTCCACAGAAGGTGGAGGGACCCCGGCTGGAAGGGTGTGGGGGTAGCACACCATCGGCTCTGGTCTTGGCGGTCTTGTAAGTCCACATACTAGCCTTTTCACCTCTGAGTTTAACCAGCCTGGGCCTCTGCCCCCCCGCTCCCCCCCCCCCCGTGCTGCTTCAGGACTGGAGCAAGACTCACGGGGCAGGGCTGGTCGCAGAAATCCCCTTGCCACCCAGGAGAGCAAAGGCAGGATCCGTCCTCGGGGCTGCAGGCCGCTCCGTTGGCGCAGAAGCACGTCTGGTTGCAGTCCAGCCCCCAGGTGCCGCTGGGGCATGGGAGAGAGCAATCCACCCCCTGCCACCCTGGAACGAGACAGAGCGAGCGACAGATGCACCAGCGGCCGCCCGGTTTGCATCCCTTACGATCTCTCTTTGAAAGGGGACGCTGTGGTATCACAGACAAATCGAGCGCCTATCTGGATTTCTCGGGGTGCATCAAATGGGTGAACAGAGAAGCAAACGGGGGGAAACTGCCCTTTGGGGAGGCCGTGTTGACCCTCCCTCTCACAATCGCAATGGCTTGACTGGGCACGTCGCACGCAAACAAGTGAAGCGGCCCTCGACTCCGGCTAAGGCAACCATTCGCTTTACCTCCAAGTGAACACTCGCAGGCCAGCCCCCTCCGCTGACGGGCATCAGGTCCGAGGCCTTACCTAGGAACTGCTCCACACCTCACGATGCACCTGCAGGCGTCCGCACGACCGGCCTCGTCTCCGCGTGATCAGAGGCCGCGCGAGCCTGACACGCGCGGCACCCGGGCACGGAGTGGAAGCGGCTCTGCACTCTTTGCCGCGCGGTGGCACGGTCTCGTGTGAAAGCCACGGGCCAAGGCCGCCGCCTTCCAGAAATACAAGCCTGGCAGGAGTGCGCCGGCATGATTTGCTCCCTGGAAATCGCAAACCACATCGATCTTGAAGGACGGCCCCAAGGCCACCCGAGGACACAGCAAGGTACGGGACACTCGCAACACACGTCGCTCTGGACATCCCGCCTCCTCCACAGCCTGGAGCCACTGAGCGAGAAAGCGCGATTTATGCAGGGCCGCCGTTACCTTCTCTGCAGAAGCAGGAGCCGTCCACTGGGGAACACGCGCCGTCATTCTTGCAGTCGCAAACCGACGAGCAGTTGGCACCGTAGGTCCCGGCCGGGCAAGTGATGGAACAGTCGTTCCCCTGGAAAATAAAGCGAAAGCCAATCGCTCTTGCCAAGGGAGAGACGGATCCCGGGGAACCCTCGCCTGCCCAGGAGAGACGTGCTTTTGCACTGGAAATATTTGCAGAGCGTGGGACCGCTTTGCAAGGCCGAAGGGGGGAGGGCTGCTTTGGCATCCCAAGGGCCACTTCTGCTCCAGAACAAACTAAAAACAACATTGGCTGTCGGAATTGCTAGCATTTAAAACTTTCCGTGCCCGTTTACCCAAAGCATTTATGCATGAGCTGCTCCAAGTGAAGTACAATCAAGCGAGTCACAAATTAAAACCCAAAGAAAACAAACAGAAGTCCATAAAAACAAGAATTTAAAACAACGCCGAACTATTTACAATTGAATAAAGTAAACGTTACAGGAGATATGATTCTGCCACTGAAAAGCCATTTGCCGCCCTCCCTGTAGCGTCCTCCGGAGCGTGACACTCTACGGCACATCCCCCCCACCAGCCGGTGTGAGTCCAGGGAGGGCCAACGCGGTGCAGATGCTTGCACCCGGCATGTGGGAGGACCCTGGGCAGGTGTGGTGGGGGAGGCACCCGGCGCCCTGCTCTGTCGGACACCCATGGAGGCCCTTTCACTGCAGCTAATCCCGGGGGCAAAGCTGTCCGGCCCGGGAGCGCTCCTGCGAACAAGAATGATGGGCCGAACGCCGAACGGGAAGCGTGCGCCTCCCTGCGCCAGGGAAGCAGGGCTGCGGGAGAGGTTCACCAAGCCAGGCTTGGGAACAGACCTAAGGGACTTGTTAAGTAAAGACAGGTTCAAACTGGAGGGTAGCGTGTCCCCGACTCTCCCCAACCTTGGTTTTGATGGCAGGGAGGAAGGACCTGGATCTGCCGGTACCCAAAGCCACACGCTCTGCATCAGCCCGTCTGGGCCCTTCCAGCCCTTTCTTCACAGCGCCCACTGGAGTGAAGTCACCATGAGCAACAGGTGTGGGTACGACACACGCTAGTGGCAAAGTCTGAGGGCGGAGAGAGGGAGGCTGCTGGAGATAAACGAGTAATTTTCCAGTTTGGGGAATTACTTGGGATAACTTTGGGTAATTTCTGAGCTAATGGGAAGGAGACTCTAGGAATGGGCCCATCCACCCACGTTGCTTTCACCCACATTTAAGTGGTTCGGATGTCAAACTCTTTCTGTCCAGACTAAGAAGACTTGGAGCATTTTGGTAAATGAACAGAAATAAAACTCCCCAGTCCTGCTTTCCCACACTTGCTAGGCAAGCCACACTCCACGCGCTGTATTTAAGGATGCTCCAGGTCACGGTGACCTGGTGCAGCTGCTGGCCGGATTTCCTGAACTGCCCCCCACGGGTTACTCGAGGGCAAGTGCCCACCTTGGACAAAGCACGCCACCCACATGGGACAACACAGCCAGATGCTTTGCTGTGCGTCTTCGGGGAAATCCAGCCGGCACACACAGCACGCCTCAACTGCCATGATCTTGTAGACCAGGTCGAAGACAAACACGAAAATCCATGTGCTATTTCCCGCTTTCCATGGAATGAACTAATCACAAGGGAAGCAGCCAAGAAACACCATTGCAAAGTGCAATGGATTTGGGTCTTTCGTTACAGCTCCCTTTGGGTTTTCTGCAACGTCTGAAATGTCTTCTCCATAATCTCAGAGGCTGTAGGATTCAAACGGCAAATGCTGGGATTCTCAACCACCTGAGGAAGCATCTGTGAGGTGGAGAGCAAGTGGGTGGACCGAACACGGCCTGTTTCTGGCTCAGATGGTGCCCTTCCACACGGTTTCCATTGCTCCCTGAAATTATGGTATTGCAACAATTATTTTGGATTGGTGTAAAAGGAGAACAGGGACAAACTCCTGGCAGCTGTTCAGTGCAAGACAGGAAAGGTAGAACAGTCTCTCTGAACAGCTGTTTACTCATTAAGAAAAACATCACGAGCAAACACTAATCACAAAAGACGACAAGGGCTTACGGTCATGTGGAGCTCGGTCCTGACCGAGGCGAGCGAGCAAGCAAATAAATAGATAAATTCAAGGCTCCAAAGTGAGATTTCAAAATCCTGGAAAAATCTGCTGGGCAGAAATCATTATGGACTGTGCAGGGCGCAGCTTCAAGACACAGACAAGGCCCAGCAAGTTACCATAACCGAAAGGAGGGAGTGGGTTAGGGAGCTGGGACTGGGACACGCATTCTTCGCAGAAGTGCAGAACAGCCGTGTGATTGCATGGCCCCCGTTCCCAAGACATGGAGGGCTGTCCTGGCCACGAAAATGGGCGTACGCAACTGGGAGGGACGAGGGACACGGCCAGTGGCTGTGCAGGCGGAGGGTAAGGCGGAGAAAAGGCATCAAGGAAAGAAATCTTCTTGGATGACATCATCATCATCATCATCATCATCATCATCCTCTCACTGTATTGCTATACACTACCAATTCTGCACAGTGCAGTACAATTTGTATACAGACAGCGTCAGCTCTGGGCGGTTCGCAACATTTTAAGTCACCCGTCCAGATTCCAACCAGGATGGATTCTGCTTCACTTCTGAGATCAGGCAGGATCAGGCCCTTCAGGCTATATGGAAGTTTCAGTCACACTCAAGGCCATTACCGGCACTGACGGGGGGCAGATTTCAGGCTGTCGGGGTTCGTTCCACCTGCCGCAGCGACTAACAGCCGCCCCGCCCTGGACAAGGGCTTGTCGTGGCCACAAATGCGAGCTGCCGGAGGTTGTTTAAAAGACGTTCCAAATTGACTCACTTTCATGGGTCCTTTCATATACATTGTTGGCACGATTTAACTACAAGTACCATCCAGAGATGGGCATGGGAGTGCAGAGCTTTGAAAGAAAAAAAAAAAACATGAGCTATGGACACTTGCTTCTGCCATTGCAAAGAGCTCATTCTTTCTTCTTAGTTGCAAAGCCAGAGAGAGAGAGAGAGAGAGAGAGAGAGAGAGAGGTGGAAAGGAACTGATCCAAATTTCTGAACACCATGGGGATGAGCAGGGCCTCCTCTATCACCCCTCAATGCCGAAAAGCGTGTGGAGCTGTTCCCATTATACAGCCTCTGAATACTGAGGACAATGCTTTGCGCCTGCTTTCCCCACTGCCCCCCACCAATATGGGCAGGGAGAATTTGTTCGAAGGAAAAAAGCAAGTGGAAAAGGTTAGACAGCTCTTTCCCCACGCTACTGCCATCTCTTCCTGATCGCACTTCCCTTAAAATACGCACACACTGGGAAATCCAGCGATGGATCTCTGGTGTAACATGCCGTTGTCTCAAAGAGTCTGTCTGTATATCATCTTCCTCCCAAACCGCCTCAGTGTGGATTTTAATCAGCAGAGTTAGCACAGATATGGGCTCAAACTGTCTGGGGCATCAGCACACAAGGAACGGAACAGCAATTTTCAGCTGTAAGTCAGTCGACGTCACAAAACGAAGCTCAAGCGATCGGCTGCGTCCTACTCTAACTTACAAAGGTGCCCATTTCTTAGAGAGGCTGACAACTTTTACTACTCCGGTGGGACCCCCTCTCTGCCAGCAGCTGGGACAAATGATATCCTCTTGGCCCCGCCGCCAGCCAAGGTCTCGCAGCCTTTTTTCGGAACCCGAGTGGCCGTACCCACGCATCTCTCGCACACCGTCTGCCCCACAGTCGCACACCAGTCTCAGCCCACACCTCTGCGCTCGTGTGGGAAGCGGAAAGCCATGCATGCATAATCAGGATGCTCAGTGATGTGGTGCGACTCGCGCAGGGCAGGGGACGCCCGTGGTGGTGCTGGCAGGCCTGGCACAGGCCCGGCCCGCTCCGAGAAGCTGGAGAGCCACCGGTGGGATGCTGGGTTCTCCCTAGGCAACCCCGAACAGGGGCAGCTGCTCCGTTCGGAGATGTGGACGGAGGGGGATGCTTTGCTGCGGTCACAGCTGCGGATCACTTGCCCCCACGAGGCCACAAAAAGAAGGATGCAGCTACATGCCCCCCCCCCCCGCTTTCCTTTGGCTGCGGCTGGGGAAAGATGTTGGGAGGAAAAGCAGTCGCGTCCACTGGGCACTCAGCAGACACGTGTGAACGTGCCCCTCTGGCCACAGTGTCACAGGGTCACGTGCACAGAGGTGCATTCGCTGGAGAGCTTGCTGACGCTGGGCGCTTCTGTTCGGCAGGAAAAGCAGTTCCGGGGGCTCGCTCTTGTGCCTACTTCCTGCCCCTCGCCTTCCTCTCGGGCAGGGGCCCACATGGGCAGTTTCTGATTCAAGGCGCCCTCTGGGATGGGGCTGTCCCGGCCAGCGCCGGCTCAAGCCCAGGGATCGCGCGGGTAGCAGCACCAGGAGCCCCGGAGGGCCGGCAGCTCTGGCTGGGCAGGCGCGGGACAAGCGGCTGGCCCTTCCCGCCCGGTGGGATGGACACCCACCCTCAACCTAGATCAGCAGGCAAACCAGGGCCTCCTTCTGGCAATGCCAGGATGGCCACCCGACCCAGAACCATGTTTCTTTGTGGTGCAAACATGCACACGATTGCTACTATTTGTCATTTCTCTACCGCCCGTGGCCGAGGCCCTCTGGACAGTTTACGGCAAAATACACCAAGATTCTGTCCATACGCCTAGGATGCCACTGGCGTCGATCAGCTTGCCAGGCACCCCCGTTCAGCGGCCACGGGCAAAAGGTCTGCGCGACGTAGCAGCGAGTAAGTCCTGCCGAACGCAGTGGAACTTACTTCTGTGTAACCACACGCAGGATCGTGCTGCTCGCTCCACAGCAGGAAATGAGCAGTGCAAATCAACGGCACAGGCTCCAGGAGATTATTAATCCTAAATGCAAGAATCATTAACATTTTAACCTCAATTTGGGGAGCACGGCTTACGGAATTAAATGCATTTGGGCACTCTTACACAAATAACAGACACACATACAACCTTCCCACCTCTGACAGCAATAATCGTCTGCTACCTTCTCTGCCATTGGTTAGCGAGCCCTACCCTCCATTAGACGGGCAT